TAATGTCCAGTTTTTTTTGTCCTTAATATTAAAAAAAATCACGATTAAATATGAATTTCAGTTTTAAATGTAATGACTTAAATGCAAAAGGGAGAGATATTGGAATTTCAAATAAAATTTTTATTAAGGAGACATTTAAGCAATTCAATTATTAAAACTATTATTCAGAATAAATAATAAAATATTTAAAATCAATTTTTTTGATATGAAAATTTATATTTTTTAGAATATCAGTACACAAAAAAAAAAAAAAAAAACAATTTATATTTAAGAAATGTATTTTTGTATTAATATCATTTTAATAGAATTTGTTTCATAATAAGTTTAACTAATAAAATTAAAAAAAAAATATTTGTAATTTTATTTTGTTTTATATATTACGTTTCTAAATTTTAATAATTAACCAAAATTTGCAACCCACTCTGTCACTTTGTCCTGTAGCAGAATATCAATTAAAGAAACCTAAAATTCAACTCTAATAAAAATAATTAACCAAATTTGGTATTTGTTTATAGCAAAAAATTAAAAATAAAATTGTTTGTTAATTTGACATTTATTATTATGTACAATATTAATGAAATCTTCAGGGCGTTTCTGAAACAATGTATTTGTTTCTCCTTAGCCTTAGCATAATGTGTCATTCCAAGTTATTGTTTTTTTCGTTTTTATTTTAGATCTCATTAATTTTTATTAAAAAATTGTTTTTTGAAAGAAAAAACCCTAGACAATTTCAATAAACATAAATTATATTCAGCTATTCAATGATTTTTTTTTTGTTATCTAAAACGCCCACACAAAAATACCTTTCGGACCAGCATCTCAGACAGGTCGAACAACATGTTACTTTGCTCTGATGATGGTGGTGATGCCCACTAAACATCATTGACTTGACTCGACTTGTCTGGCTTTTAGACAAGCTACTCACAAATTTAAAGCGTAGGTTGCAAAGAAATACAACAAAAATTGTATATCTTATCATTTGATTTTATTATTGTGATTGGGCTATGATTTTTGTTTCGTTTTTTTTTTCAAAAATTTCAACGTTGTTTCGGCCAAAGTGTGAATTTAATTTACATTTAAACGAGGCCCAGCACAAGCAAGGTGACACACTTCACTTTTATTACAACAACAGCAACAAAAAGATGAAACCTTTTTCAAACCCAAAGTTATTATCAATACTATTAAAACCAATTTTTTTTTAAAGATTTGGAAATAAAACATAAACAAAGAGAGCAGTTAAATGTAAAAATTCACAAAACTAGTTTGAATTTTTATTTGAAAAACGATTGAGATCAGCAAACGGACCTTTAGAAAAAAAACCAAAGCTAAAACTCATAAATAAGCTTATTACTAGGAATGTGAAATGTTATTCAGTAACAGAAAAAAAAAATATTTCAAAGACAATATTGGCAGACACACGATATTTTTTGATATTATTTATTGATTTATTTTTTGTCATTGTGTGATATTGGTTTTATTATGGTTCGGCGCCTAATCTTAACCATACTTGGATTGACTACCAAAAAATCAATAATTATTACAATACTAAATTTGGAGAGCTCAAAAACAAAAACCAAACAGAATATAAGTCTAAAAGCGATCATTTTAATAGACCTATCAAAAACTATTTGATAACCGACATATATGGTCAAAAAGTTTGATATGTTGTCTAAAGTTGTTGTGGAAATTTTAATATTTCACATTTTTTTATTTTTTACAATTTTTTTGGGCATACCCATTTATTACAAAAGTTATATGAAATGAAAATTTTATAAGAGAAGTCTTGAGAAGATAAAATCAATAAGTTAATTGATTATTTTGAGAAATTAATTGATTATGACAATACTTGTAGTCTGAAATTTTAGTTAGTCTTATATTATTTCTTTTTATTTATTTTTTCGGTTTATCTTCTAGATTCGCCTTTGTTCGAAGTTTCCTCTTTCATTCACTTTCAAATCCAAATGTATCTCAAAAAAGCTTTGGAGTTTATCATCTCCACACTGCTTCATGCTACATACTTTAATGTCCAATAAATGCTGGAATTTTTCCCACTTCCTTCAAATAAAAACTCTTCCGCTTTTAAATGTCTACTTTACTAGCCTTTGTTACATTTAATACCTTATATGGTTAATGGTCAAGATTTCTTTTTGTCTTTGAGAAAGGTGATCATATTTCCAGAAACCAACAAAGGAATATTATTATCATTACTTCCATAAAAATGTTAACACTTTAAAATAAAATACCTTGTAACAAAAAAAGTGAACGAAATCAAAATTTAATTGTGGATTTGTGTCATCAGCAACCCACTCCCATCGTCATCTTCTAATGTCAATGGAACTACCACAAAAAGAGATATGCGTGTCATAAACCATAAAAATGTCGTACTTAATTTCATGAAAGTTTGGATTTTTTTTCTTCTTTGTTACACTTTTCTTTCAAGAGGTAATTTTTATAATTTTGGGTTTTAAATAAATATAATTTGAAGAAAAACAAAAAAATGCGCCGGAAAACGATTTAATGCTACTACGCCCTAAACAAAAAAAAAAAACGAAAATTTACAACATGTCATTAGCATTATTTATAATTTTTTTAACACCTCATATGTGGGTTTGTTGTGAGCCCATACCTCCCCAGCTGAGTTTAGGCCAGGGTCTCATTGTTCAAAAGAATTACTTGCCATTATCATCTGGGTATTACTGTAAATGACAATTAAATCAAACAACAAAACAAACTTTTGTTTTGTCTCAGAATATAACATTTTTGGGGATTTTTTTTCCTTCATCTTTTTAAAAAATACAAACATTACAAAAGATCCAACATTAAGACATAATTATCTTCTCAACGCTTACTTTTTGTTTAAGTTAAAAGTTTTCTTCTTCTTTTCTTGGAGATTTGTTTATTTGTCATTGGTGTGTGTGTGTTTGTGCATTGCCCCCACATGGAAATTTTAAACCTCTCTGGGTGTGTGTGTGTTTGCTTTGTGAAAAAAGTAGACAGGTGGACAAATAGAAAGGTTGGACAGACACACAAAAATTGTATCGAGTGAGAGAGACACATTTGAAATAAGTAATTGTTGTTATCACATGGGTCCAACATACCAAAACCAACAACAACGACAAAAAATCTGTAAACAAAAAGACAAAACTCTCAGCCACAATCATTACCATCAGCAGCATTGGCATTTGGAATCCAGCAACAACACACACACACACATACACCAACGGAAATAACAAATTTTCAGTAAGAAAAAAAAAAACAATTGCTCCGGCGTCCGTCAACTAGCCTAGGGAGATATTTTTCCATCAGCTTCAGTTTAGACTTGATGTTGCGTTTGGTTGTTGTATTTATTTTTTTCTTCTTCTTCATCTTCAGTCTTATTAAAATTGTTGTTTCCTTTTGAATGTTTCTACTTCGACAGCTAGCTAAACGCTGGAAGAAAGGCCCGCAAAAAAACCTGAAACGGAAGCCCACTAATAATGTGGCTTTTTAATCGAAACCAAGTTATTGTCGTTTAAGACCGGTATGAGAAGGAATGTATGAATCAGTCAGCCAACAGAGCGGCGTAACAAATCTATGAATGGAAGAAAATCAAATGAATGGTATGAGTATGGGATGCAACTGACTGGCTGATGGTATAGATGGATTGATACATTAAACTACAGATTTAGAGTTGTAAAGTAATTTATTTGATTTTCTGGGTATAGTTTTGTTAGCTGTCACGGAAGACAGGAGGTCAGCAAACTGTTTGACGAAGAAGAAAAAAAAAAATAAAGAATGTTTATTGTTTGATTGCTACCAAGAATTTGGAATTTGAACACCAAGGTAGTTAGTAACTACTAGTACTACCGGTAACTAACAGCTATGCGTGAGAAAAACCTATCCATGAAACACCTGTGGATAGATTGAAGTTCCAAAATAAATATTTCCCCAACTACAATCGAAAATAACAATAATAGCCAAAATTACAATTATACGCACCACAAGTAGAAGGCTTTGAAAATAGATTTGTTTTTTTGGCCCCCATGCTGGTCGTATTACTTCCAGAAACTGTGATTGCTGTTATTGACGGTGGCCCCCGAAAATAAACCTCAACAACAACAACAACATTGTGCGTATAATAACAATTAATTGTTTTTCTTGGTTTGAGTGTGTGTATGATTTAATACCAGGAAATCCCCATAAAACCAAGGAAGACACCTTAATAAAAACAAAAGAAAAAATAAATTATTTGTTTCTTGTTCTTGTGGAAACAAAGTGACCGCCCTGCAATGCATCAGGTGCAATGGCCCGGCATGTGTTAACAGTTTTGGCGGAAAAATAGCCACTACTACTTTTCTGTAGTTCTATTTAATTGTAACCTGTCGTCATACCGGCTTGCTGGGAAGATCGCATCTAATTGTTTCTTTTTTGGGTTTCATTTCCCACAATGAAACTGGATTAAATCACAAAATTTTTAATGGATTTTTGAAGAGCATGATATAATTATTTGAAACTAAATTTTGATTTCGAAATAAATAAATTAAAAGAAAGTCTGTGGGAAATTTAATGAATGAATTAGACATGTAAAAGTGAACTACAACATGGATACAAATGGTCACCATGGGATACAACCATTTTTAAGCTGATACAAAATATACCGTAAAGTGCCTAGCTGAGATCCATATGTGTTCGGAACGCTCTCTCTATCTATTATATAATATTTTTTTTAATGTATTTCCTTTTTTGTATTTTTTAATAATTAATAAATTGAGATTTTATTTTTTCAAACTTAATAACAATTTTCTTCTCTCTTTTTTCTCATTACAGTTACATTTCCCTAAAAAAGGACAACTCCCGTTTTGCAAAGGTCCTTCCTACCTTTGACAGGAGTTGAATCTACAACAACCATCAACTCCATCGTAATATATTAACCAACAAAATGTCTTCATCTACACTCTCTCAAATGCTGATCCACGCATTGCTCCTCTCTCTGCTCATCTGTCATCATGTAGAGAGTAAATCTTCAAATCTCTTCACTCACTTTCAAAATCAACGTTTTGCCATGGAACCGCAAGATCAAACAGCTGTTGTGGGTGCCCGCGTAACACTGCCCTGCCGGGTGATAAACAAACAAGGTACCCTACAATGGACCAAAGATGATTTTGGTCTGGGTACCTCACGAGATTTGGCCGGCTTTGAACGTTACAGCATGATCGGCAGCGATGAAGAGGGTGATTATTCTCTTGAAATCTATCCAGTTATGTTGGACGATGATGCCCGCTACCAATGTCAAGTTAGTCCCGGTCCCGAAGGCCAGCCTGCGGTACGTTCTACCTTTGCCAAAATAACTGTACTCGTACCACCCGATGCTCCAAAAATTGTTCAGGGTGAAGTGATCTACACAACCGAAGATCGTAAGGTCGACATTGAATGCATTTCGGTGGGTGGTAAGCCAGCTGCGGAAATTACCTGGATAGATGGTTTTGGCAATGTCATCACAGATAACATCGATTATACCATTATACCCATGCCAGATCTCAGGAGATACACGGCCAAGTCTGTTTTACGTTTAACTCCGAAAAAGGAGCACCACAACACCACTTTTACATGTCAGGCTCAAAATACCGCAGATCGTACCTATCGTTCGGCTAAGATACGTATGGATGTTAAATATGCTCCTAAGGTTACTGTAAATGTCATTGGTGGTGCTGTGGGTAATGGTCGCATATTGGAACATTCTCAAGTGCGTCTGGAATGTAAATCAGAAGCCAATCCCAGTGATGTGCGTTACAAATGGTATATCAATGATGAGCCAATTAGTGGTGGACAAAAACCCGAAATGATTATTCGGAATGTTACCCGGAAATTCCATGATGCCATTGTCAAGTGTGAGGTACAAAACTCGATTGGCAAAAGTGAGGATAGCGAGACCTTGGATATTAGCTGTAAGTAGCAAAAATTGTACATCTTCCGATTGTAGGGCAATTTTATAATTTTAAAATTTGTTTTCTTGCAGATGGTCCCACCTTCAAAGAGAAACCCAGATCCATTGAGGCCGACATTGGCAGCATTGTAACACTGAACTGTGAAGTTGATGGTAATCCCACACCCGATATTGTTTGGATTCAACATCCCATTGATAGGGTAAGTTTGTAAAACTGGAAGTTCTCCAAAGGCAAATATAAAACAATCCTTCCCTTTTCCTTATTACAGGTTGTTGGTTCCAGTTCAAATTTAACCTTTAGCGTTTCGAATGAAACTGCCGGCCGTTATTACTGCAAGGCAAATGTCCCCGGTTATCCTGAAATTTCTGCTGATGCCTATGTCTATTTGAAAGGTTCTCCGGCAATCTCTTCGGCCCGTACCCAATATGGTTTGATGGGTGACACGGCACGCATTGAATGCTTTGCTACATCTGTACCAAGGGCCCGCCATGTCTCGTGGACATTTAATGGTCATGAAATTAGTTCAGAAATGGGTCATGATTATTCCATACTGGTGGACGCTGTTCCCGGTGGTGTTAAATCTACGCTGATCATTCGTGATAGTCAGTCTTACCATTATGGAAAATATAATTGTACCGTGGTCAATGATTATGGCAATGATGTGGCGGAAATTAATCTACAGGCTCAAAGTAAGTATTGTGAAAACTATTTACAAAATTAAAAAAAAATATATATATACCAAAAGAAACATAATAATTATGTTTAGAATATTTTTATTTTTTATAAACAAAAATACTAATTTATTTATCAATTTTCTTCTTTCTTTTTGCAGAAAGTGTCCCTCTCCTGATGACAATTGTTGGTGGCATTTCGGCTGTTGCCCTACTGATGATCATTACTATTCTGGTCATTGTCTATTTCAAGTGTAAAAAACGTTCAAAGCTGCCACCCGCCGATGTCATTAGCGAACATCAAATTACCAAAAATGGCGGTGTTGGCTCCTGTAAAATGGAAGCTGGTGATCGTACCTCCAATTATAGTGATCTCAAAGTTGACATTTCCGGTGGCTATGTACCCTATGGTGATTACACGACCCATTATAGTCCACCACCTCAATATCTGACAACGTGTTCGACCAAATCGAATGGTAGCTCTACAATTATCCAAAACAATCATCAAAATCACTTACAGCAGCAAATGCAACAACAACAGCACCAACAAACACTGCCCATGACATTTTTAACAAATGTTAATGGTAGCAGTAGTTTAGCTGGCAGTATAATTACTGCACGTGATATACGACAAGATAATGGACTTCCTAGCCTGCAGTCGACCACAGCGTCGGTGGTTAGTTCATCGCCCAATGGCAGCTGTAGCAATCAGAGTACAGCAACACATGTTGTTACCTCGTCGTCGGCAGCCCCAGCATCGGCTGTTGATCCACGTTTTAGTGCCATCTATGGTAATCCATATTTAAGATCATCGAATTCATCGCTATTGCCACCACCCACAGCTGTATAAGAAGCCACGAACAAAAAAAAAAACGGGGATTTAGAAATTTTGTTTGTATGTTTGAACATATAGGTATATGTTTTATTTAATTCAAAGTAAGTGTGGAAAAAAGACTGAAATTTGTATATATATGTACACACGTGTATCAACCAATCAACGACAACTACAAACATAAGTAGGTAAAAATGTCATCATCTGTTGAAAACAATTTAATAATGGATTGAAATACGTTGTGTGGTGATCAGCAGGAGAGAGAAATGAAAAAAAAAATGGAGACATCAAATGTTGGAAAAATTGTTTAGGACTCGATACGATCTTTATTGAAATTATGGCGCCCAACAAAAGGACCTTATTGTCTGTATATTTGAATTTTCTAGACTGAATTTCCGAGTCACTCACTATTCTTCAGTGTGAAATGAGTAACAATATCGAATGGTGAACGAAAAATTCAAACATAGAACAAGTGGCGCGCTAAAAGGTTCTAAATTTTTTAGATTAAAATGAACTTGAGATAATGATATAAAATGGCGCCCAACATAGAATCTAGATATGAAAACACCATTTGTTTGTTTCAAATTAAGTTTTTAATATATATTTTTTTAATTTTTGGAATAAAACATTTAAAGTATTTTGTTCTGATAACTGCAACAATTTAGCCCAGTAATATTTAATGATAAAATCGAAATTTTTATGGTTTTATATTTTAATTAAATTAATTTTCCTCGTGATTTTGTTTTCTTTTTATGCTTGATTTTCCATTTTGCTATCCACATGTGTCCATTTGTAATTAATGGCGCCCAACATATTCCCATAAATTTTTACTTCATATCTCCAAAACTCACCACACAAGAAAATGTGTTCAAACGATATAAATTAACAGGTAACAATGATGAAAAAAATCCTATATTACTAAATTTTGAACAAAAAAACTGAACAAAGACTAAAAGAAAAATGGTAGTATTGTAACAATCAATGTCCCTTACAAAGCCACAACAAAGTCATTTCCGGTTCAGTTTTTTTCCGAATCACAACAGAAAACTACTAAAACTGCCGCTCTTTTTGTCCCATCCCTCTTCGTGTGGAATTTTAGCCTTAGATAAACGAAAAAAAAAAAACACAAACTTGAAACGAAACGATAACGAAAAATTCAATAGCATTTTTTTCTAAAATAGTATTTTGTTTAAATATTAGTTTTAGTTGTTCTATTTAAGCTTAACAATAAATAAGCCAAAGTACCTGATAGACCTAAGATCATTTTTGTTTTAGACGTTTTTTTATTAAGAAGAACAAGAAAACCAAACTTGAATACAGAATTTGAATATTTTGTAATTCACAACATTCAATATAGTTTGCTAGCCTTTTAAGATATAATTTTAAAATTTTCCAACAACAAAAAATATTAAATTGGAAATTGTATATAAACAAAGACAAAATTAGAAGCGCCCTCATAACGAACTACTTAAATCTTCTAACTTTAAATCTTTAAGTACTTAGTAGTATGTAAACGATAGCCAAAATGTAAAACCTTCTCCTTATAGTTATATAGTACAGAACTAGCTAGCATTTATCGTGTAAGTATATAAATATATGGGCTTTACCTTAAACAAAAAAGAAAATGGCCTCGAAGTGAAGTTGGTTCGCCAGAGGTCACACTTTGCTTTAGTTTCTGATCAAAGCATGTCTGCAATTACCTTGAATGTAGTGTCTTAAAATTTGTTGAACATTTTTGAAAAACCAAACAAGAATCTCATCATTGTCATCATTATTAATTAAAACAACAACAACAACAACAACAATACATGTGCTTTTGTGTACAAATATTTTGAAAAAATACAACAACAAAAAATTACAAATTATTTTTTTGCTTACTATTAAATAGTATTTTATGCGAAAGAGCAACATTTTTAAAGAAAAGAAAAAGAAAAAAAACAAAGCCTGCTACTATTTACACTCAAAGAAAAAAATCATTGATTCATTCATTAGCGTTTCACTACAAAGCACCGAGACTCCATTAAACTCAAACACATACACACACTTAATTGCTTGCAAAATACTTGGTTTAGCCTATATCTATAATTTTTTTATTACATTTAAACACACAAAATAAATCCAAAAATAATATTTAATATATTTTTTGCTATAATAAAACAAATTGCATTTCTATATATAGATTTTTGTTTTTAAATGAAAATATATAAATTGTTCTTATGTTCAGGTATTGATTTCTTTTTTATATATATGAATGTAATATAATTGTTTTATTATCCTTTCACACTTTTATTATAGTTTATAAATTAAATTAAGTTTAAACATAATTGTGTATTCTATAAAAAAACGAATCAGAAATTATATTATTTTTATTCAAACATACATACATACATCAACCACACCAACACATTGCAACAACACTAACACACATAACATCCACGACTCTACATACAACATATATATTTTGTAATATTTTTATAAAAACAAATATTTTTGTAATATTTTGCAAAACATCGCCATCATCAGCAACAGCATCATCACCGATGCCATTGTCATGGACATCATCGATAGACCAACTTCGTTTAGTCGTTCCTTCGCATACCTTTTGATAAAATGCGCCACGTTCCAGTGTTGGTGACAATTGTTGTCATTGTCGCCACTGACAAACAAACAGACAAACAAAAATGATATAAATGTATGTTTGCTTAAAATGAAATAATTGAAAAACTAAAAAAAAACGAAAAAGTAATTATTATAAAACAAAAAATAAATAGATGCTGACAATTTTGTTAATACGTATTACGTATATATGTAAATTATATATACATACTAATTATAATGATGATTTTTTATTATGATTATTATTAATAAAGACAAAAAATATTTAAATAAAAAAAATCGAAAATTGTAATCAAATTTGTGTTGTTCATTATTGTTATATGATGTGTGGGAAATGATAGTAATGAAAAAGTAAGTATGTTTGTAATGTTATACAATTTATAACACTACATAATTTGTGTATTTTAAAGAGAACTGGGTTTTTAATTGTAGTAACAAATATTGGTCGGCCTTGAAAATAGGATAGATTGGGAAATATTTATTCACTATTCTATTCATTAACAACATGGACGTTAACATTTTTGATTTTAATCAGCTGGACATACATAATGTTACATTACAACCGGAAATTATTAAATGGCGCCCAACGGGAACACGAAATTTTTTTTCTTTCCATTCTTGATCATAATGCAATTCGAAACCGACTTATACGAATCTAAATGAATTGTTCCATAATATTAGGTATGTGTTTACAACATTTTCGGTAATTCAAAAATTCTTCTTTCCAACATATTGTACAAGTGTTCAACCATTTTATAGACTTAAATTTGTGGTAAGTTTTATACCTTACCTTATTGCTTTATTTTTAATAACATTTCGAAGCTTTTTCCTAATTGAAACAAATTAGAAAATGAGGTCGACATTTTGGTACGAAATGGCGCCCAACGTTAAGGCCCAAATATTCACTTTTCCAAATATTTTTTTTTAATTATTTTCTGAAATGTTAAAATATAACAGTTACGGTTTTTAATTGTTAAGTTGTATAAATGGTCTATGAGTAGTAGGAAATTAGTTCAATAATATTTAACGAATAATATTTAACGAAAATGATTACGCATTTTTATTCTATCAGCCTTATATGTAATCGAAGCATTTTATTTAGACCTAATGTTACTTTAGACCAAATTCGTTTCAAACTATTTAGAGTCGATACAAATGTTCGTCGGTCTTTCTGTCTGTTTGGTGCGCACGATAACTCTCGAAGCGAGTAATCGATGTAATTCGAACATTCCACATTGTAATATTTCTTACAATTGTAAATAAAGTTCGAAGAATATCGATTCACTCCTCCTACCTTCCACACAAAATGTTTAATATTTTGATGAAAATTATTTCGTTGTATCATGCGAAAAGACTATCCCATTTGAACCAACATTGCACAACCTAATATTTTTACGAAGCGTCTATATTGTTGTATTATTTGATTTATCGGCGATACCTTCTAGTACCTCCCCCACAAATGGTGAACAATTTTTTTATCCAATATTAGGCGAATAGAATGTCAGATTTGACCTAAGCTTTACACATCGTATACATTTTCATTAATTCAATATTAAACGAATGAAATGTCTGATTTGATTCAAACTATATATGAAGTTCGAAGACGGTACCCACGAAGGGTAAACATTTCGAAAATTTGTTAATCGAATAACAACCGTATAAAATGTCTTATTTCATACAAAATACGCATATCGTAATATTTCTTTCAAACTTAAATCAAGTTTTAAGATGCGACCAATTTAAAAAAATATTTAAAAAAAAATTATTAAATTCACAAAAAAGTATACAATTGAATCGTACATATGACACCATCCTCAGTTTAATATATACAATACGAACAAAGTTATGGCGAAAAAGAAATGAGGTAAACAAATTTAAAGACCGCGTCGTTAGCGCCATCTAGTGATACTTCAATTCAGACACATTGGTTTTTTTAAAACAAGGTCTCTAAGCGTATAATTTCTGAAGAGATAATTGCATCTATACAAAATCGGTCCCATTTGAAAACTGAGATATTAAACATAACTACGAATATATAATAGACATTACCGAATTCAATATTGTGGTGTAAAATTCGAATCCTAATATATAAAGCTGAATTTCATTTTATTATTCAAATAATTTTGGAATTTTATTTATTTCACAATAAATGTACGATTATACTTTTCATATGACACCACCATAATTTTAATATCTTAAATACGAAAAAAGTATTAATAATACGAAATGATTTGTAAACTGTCGTCAGAGACATATATTGATATGTATGATTCAAATCGTCCATATCAGTTTTTCAAACCCAACTATCGAAGCGTGCAAGTGCAAAAAGTCTACTGTACTACGACTATAACATTATTTTTATAAAACAAATACAACGGAGGTATATAAAAAATGTCAAAATAATAAAAATTAACGATTATACGATTCAGCAACACTTTTTTTTAAAATATCTTTACGATTTTTGATCTACCTAACCAATAGATGGCGCTGACGACAAGTGTTTGCCAGTGCTACCAATTTTACAGTAAAGCATCGTTATTTTAGATTCTTCATTACTTTTTAATGATAATGATACGATAACTCTTATTAGTATATTATATATTAGTATATTTTACAGAATTGCCACATTAATATATAATAACAGTTTTCTAGGATTTTCATTTGATTTTAATTTGAAAGATTTTTTTAAGAGTCATTATGCGCACCAGCTAGACAAACGGGCCATTGTGCCAACAAGGGTTAAAATAATTTATCTGGTACTGTATGTCATTTAAATTTTGTACATATTCTTCGGTTGTGTGTCGTAAATCATCAGGTCTAAACACATCTAATCATTTGATGATATAAACTTACTGGGTTAAGTTGCATTACCAAAAAATCTCATACATCTTAGTTTTGAATATTATGTAAATATCATTTTTGCTGAGTGTTCATATGAGGATTTTATTTACGCCACATCCACACAATTTCTCGTGGTATCGGGGCCTTTACATGACTCGTAATGTCATTGTCAAACGCCATGTACTGTACACTCATAAGGAGAATTCTTATGTAAATAACCAATTATATTCGTAATGTTCTATATTTTCATCACCAAAGTTTATATGCAAATATATAATTATTGGATCTTCCATAAAAATCAACTTAAAATAATTCCCATAATTTTATGGCATATTTCATAACATTTATCAATAAAACACAGACACACCTGTTATAACTTTTTACTAAAAGTAAACACTCCCAAACTGGGCAACACTGGCTCGTAAACAAGAAATCGTTTTCTTATCTATTTTGCAAATTCTGTTAGTGCGGCTGTGGACTTTGACGTAATTGGAGGTTTCGCTGTCGGTGCGGTTAGTGAGAATATTTATAGTAAAAAAAAACTATAAAACATAAACAACAAAATTATGGCACAACAATTAATCGGAAAATTAGCCATTGTTACAGGTGATTGGATAGAACACAATTTAAATTGAAATGTTAATAGCAAATATACATATGTATTTCATTAGGAGCTGGAAGTGGAATCGGTCGCAGTACCTGCCGTTTATTAAGAGATTATGGGGCCAAAGTCATAGCAGCTGATCGTAACATAAAGGCGGCAGAAGAGACGGCAAAAGAATTGGGTGATCGTGGTGAGTATTTTTTTCAACTCTCTGTTATGGTGGAAATTCGAATATAGGCAATTATGCCTAAAAATATGCTATATTATATTGTGATATACTGTCATTATATTATTTGGTGTGCAATATTTCCGACATCCTTAAAGTATGCAATAATAAAAATGTTTTATTTAACTTTCAGATATTTTCCCTTTGGAAGTTGATGTTTCTTCGCTGGAAAGTGTTACCAATGCTGTCGGCAAAACCCGTGAACAATTTCAAACGGCACCATCCATTGTTGTCAACTCAGCGGGCATCACACGTGATGGCTACCTCTTGAAAATGCCCGAACGTGACTATGATGATGTGTACAGTGTCAATTTGAAGGGAACCTTTATGGTAACGCAGCAATTTGCCAAAGCCATGATTGAACACAACATCAAGGGCGGCAGTATTGTTAATATTTCAAGTATTGTGGCAAAAATGAACAATATTGGTCAGGCTAATTATGCTGCCACAAAGGCTGGTGTTATATCGTTTACGGAAGTGGCTTCTAAGGAATTTGGCAAATTTGGCATTCGTGTAAATGCCATACTTCCGGGTTATATAAATACTCCTATGGTGGCTGTTGTACCCGACAAAATCAAACAAGAAGTGGTAATGCGTTGTCCTTTGGGCCGTATGGGTGAACCCAGCGAGATTGCTGAAGTTATAGCATTTTTGGCATCAGACAAATCGTCGTACATTAATGGTGCTGCTATTGAAGTTACTGGTGGACTTAAGTGATGAAGATGATGTCGTTTTGATGGACACGGATATTACTTGAAGCTGGTCTTTTTTTAAATGCATTTATTAGAATAATAAAAAATAAAAGCCTACCTCCATTTTGAAATTACTGTTAAAAATATATGTAAATATATACACTATACTTTTGGTACATGCAGCCCCGAAATTTCTTCCGCAACCTTAGAACAAATTGCTGTTCACATATTTAATGGAACTTTGCTAAATAGGATATGTACAAAATTTGACATCGCTACATCTTTGCATTCGGGAGATAAAGTACAGTATTTCGTAAAAATTAAAGTCCAACATCAAAAAAACTAAATGCAATAATTATGATGGCAGAATTCATAAAATTCGAATACGAAGCGATTTAAATAATTTGGACTGTATACACAAATTAGTACTGTACACAAATTTACCCTCTTCTCCATATTAAAAATCTTATAACATTGCCAAATTTTTTAATTTTTTGATTTTTCTTTTTAAATGTGTCGTCCATAATCAGGTCTTGACATACGAAATCGAAATAATATATATCTACTAGCTGCATATACTTTTTTTGGCCTGTGGGCAACATTGGGCCACAAAGGGTTAAGGATATATTTATGAATTGTGCACATAAACGAAGTATTTAAGAGGGTTTCGATCCGAATACCAAAAAACTCATTCTTCTGGGCTTAAGTTAAAAAGAAAAACAGCAAGAAACATTTTGCCATATTTTTGGACGCCGCGTTGGAATTTAGGTAGCCTTGTTATACTTGTGGTTTCATTAAGTTTTTTTTTTTCATTGATATGTATCAGTAAATCCATTTGACCTCCCTTAAAATAAAATTCAATACATATTTCATTTTTTTCTAATATTTATCTACATATATTTTTATTTAATTCATAGATTCCTATTAGATTAGATATATTTATTAGCATTTCATATTATTTGCCTCCATCATTCGATTCGATTAAGCGACAACACGACGACGTTTGACAATCTTGTTCTTCTTGTTGCGTTTTCTGATGACACGCTTCTTAATCACACGACGTTTGTTGGGACGATTGGCATTGTTCAGGATAACACGTTGGCCATTCTTGAAGTAGCCACGATATTTGGGTGGAATACGAACACTAACCACACGACCATTCTTGGAGCCACGACGTCTCAAGTTGACACGAGCAGAACCGTTATCATTGTAACCCTCAGATGTACCGCTAATTTCTTGATCGGTAACAATGTATTCCTCGGCACCGGCACCCAAGGCAGCAGCCAAAGCCTGATTGTCGACAACAGAAGCTTCTTCTTCTTCTTTAGCATCATCTTGGTTCTCATAGGATCCGCGGCCAATCAATTGGATACGTTGGACTGGGCGTTTTCTCTTAGCACCACCAGCAGCGGCACCACCAGCAGTACCGCCGGTACCTCCAGTACCACCGGTACCGCCACCAGTTCCAGTTGTGGTGGGAGACACAGAGATGGTACCAGTAGCAGTGGGAACGGTACCAGTGGAGGTGATGGTTGTGGTTGGTGGAGTTGTACCAGTGGCAGTGGTGGTTGTGGCTGGAGCATTACCGCCTCCGGTGATGATAATGGGAATCACGGGTTGTTTCTGACCAAACATGTTCTTGAACAACATGAACTTCTTCATGAACAAACGACCACTGCTGCCATCACCTTTCTTGTTGCCACCATCAACACTGTCGGATTGTTCTCCATTGTCGACGTTGTCAACCAGCTCAACATTGGCATCATCATTAATTACTTGGGCGGCACGGAATTTACCTAAAAAATTGAAGAATTCGGATGTAAGTAATCGTCGTATAATTTCCAAATATCGCAAACTTACCCTTTGCTGGTTCAGGTTCGGGCTCAGGGGCGGCAAATGCAACCGCCATTATGGCCGCTGCCAGGATCACGGTGAAAGTAAAGGTCTTCATAATTGAAACTACTTTTCGTTGTCAAAAAGAACTTTTCAATTGCTGTCGCTGTGTCTATCTCCCTAAACCACTGAAGGCTTTGATTGCAAATCGATGTTTGATACTGGTTGAACGGTAGTCCCGGTCTTTTTATACACATCCAGATCCCAGCCATTATAATTATTATTATCATTATTTGCCATAGATGGCAAAAAGTAAATATCATTTCTACGTACCCACCACCACAGCCATCGTCAATGAAGCAAAAATTTCAAGTACCCCAGCCATAGGCTACGCACAATAACGCCAAACTAAGAACCTAAAAGAAAAGCAAAATGTGCTTCGGGCGTTTTTTCTCGAATCAAGTCAAGAAGAAAAGAAATTTCATTCCATAGTCACGGTAGTGGCAAATCCGTACTTCATTATGGTCATCGTCATGATGTTCACTCAATTCATAATCATATCATTTACATACAAATGAAATTGAACTACAATCAGTTACTCGCAATTCACTTTCCAGTTTCAATGAATTGTTACGGTGTACACACAACTACACGTACTCGTATTGGTACGGGCAGTGTGTGTACGAAATTCCACAAAATAAACTCATGTGTTGGTAGACACTTGGTGAGCCTTAGGTCGAAAATTGCTAAATGGTCAAAATAAATTGGTATCAGAAATTGTCAAGTCATTGGCTACACTTTCTCATAATTTGGAGCTGCCTTCGTTTTTTTCAGTCGTCGATTGTTTAGGAAATACCTATGATAAAAATGGTGTTCTAATATACTGATATTACATTGAACGAGGATTGGAAGAACACCATTTCTTTTGGACATATCTACTGCAAGGATACTGTCAGTTAAAACAGGTTAAATTGGTAATGAGTGAAAAAAATATATCCATATGTTACAAAAGATAAAATAGATCTGATCACACATACACTACTTTCTGAAACCCAGTAACCCAAGAAGTATTGTCGGATTGGCCTGATCATGTGCTAACCTACACAACTACCAGTGAAACTAAATTATTAACGGAGTTAAATTCCGATCCGACAAATGTCCCATACTTACGCTTCTATCAATACATCCATATAATTGATATGAAAGAAACAGATTCTTCTTTGTATGTTGGCAACTTTTCTCGACCATGTATTGAGTAAAAATATACTCCATATGATTACATGATTTCAATATTTCCATATAAATCCAGGTCAATTTGAGAAGGATTATCACAAGAAAATCCATGCTTACTACAGACATCTTTATTAGAACACATTTGTCATTATTTTCTTGTTCATAGCATAAATAAGTCATTTATTTTAAAATTGTTAGAGTCGTTAATTTTAAATTGATAAATTTAAAGTTTTGGATTCGATTTGTTTCAAAAATATTGTTAAGTGGTATTAATTTTGTCAACATGATATGTTTTGTAAACTTTTCTAGAAACACGAGATTTGTATCAGATTTAAACCACTTTCAAAATAAACGACTCAAATACTAATTTAAGTATTATATATGGAGACACTGCAGAAATAAAAACTGCAAAATCAAAAATGCCGCGTAAGTTACGTTGCGTGAGTGACCAAGAAAAATCCTTCGCAAAAAATGACCGGATAATTTCTGAAGTTTACATACATATCTGAACACTACATACCAATTCTGACAGAAACAAATCCAAATTTAGTACCAGATAGTACACATTAATATAAATGTCCATAACTACCTACCTTAACAATCATAAGTACGAAATTCCCATATGCCCTAATCTTAATTTAAAATTTCAGGATTCCATATCTCTTGGTTCACCCTTGGTTCCAAAAGTGACTCTCACCCCACATTTCAAGATTCAGCTTCTGAAGTTTCGTCTGGACGTTGATGACGTTCGTCAGTCGATCACTTTACTCCTTTATTTTTATTAGCATTAGGTTAGGGAAAAATAAATCCATTATTGGTTGAGAAGTTTCAATGCATCCGCAAAGTGGACCTATACCGACAGTTCTACAAATCTATTAATTTAAACAATTATGTACACCAAATACAAATTTCAATGATTTTTAATCGACACTTTTCATAAAATCTGAAAACCCCAAAAAAAGCACCGATATTGATTACGCAAGGTGAAACATGTGTATAAAATCCTCAAACTACTGAGATATATGCCAAATGGCGGACCAATATTGATTACATAGCTAGGAATTAGCGAATATTTGGGTTTATTATTATATGAGGGACTATGTCTAATTAATGACGGAAATAACTCAATTTCGAGCCCAATATTTTAGTTTTGTATCTCAATTCTTTCCTTTAGGAGGTATCATTGTATGGGGGATATGCCTATATGCTGGCCGATATCCTTAGATGGCGGAACGATTACAACATATGGCTAAATCGTCTTAGAACTCCATACTTTGTAGGGTAAAAACTGAGAATTTCGAGTAAAGAATACCAACCATAGTATGGTAGAATGCAGGTATATTAGGACAACCCCAACACATGGAACACATCAGATAACTATATTAATATAAAAAGTGAAAAAGCGTTAAGTTCTGCCGGGCCGAACTTTGGATACCCTCCACCATAGATATACTGACATATACTTGAAAAAAGAATATAGGGAACATACCACAAATTAGACCTATGCCAACATTTCTACAAACCGATTATGTAAACCCTAATACAATTTTCAGGTATTTTTAATGCATAATTATACCCTCAGCCTTATGGCTAATGAGGGTGTATACACTTTGACGCTGTGAAAATGTGCCTCGTCGAAATATTGGTTCTGTGGACCAAACCCGTTTCACAATTTTTTTTTTCATCCAAATTTTGCCCATCTTATTATTTCATATATAGGTCATTATCGAATCTTACGTTCTAGTTTTTTTATCTCGCAGGTGAAATGATTACAACAGAGTCTTAGAACCAAACCTAAAACGCGGAACAAATCAGATAAATATTTTATATTTATGGGTTATATGGGGACTACCCCAAAAAAGGGGCCATATACGATAGCAAAATACCAAATTGCAGCGAATTCGGTTGAAAAACGCGCTCAAGAACCCCAAAATACCGAAAATATGGGGTACCCTTTTATGGGGTCTATCCGAAAGAATGGACCTATATTCAAAATTTTTTGCGGAGAGATTTGGTACCTATTAAGAAATCCAAATACTAAATTCGATGGAAAAATACGATCAAAACCACCAAAATACTGAAAATTAGGAGGTACCGTTATATGGGCTACAAGAAAAAGTGGACCTATATTTATAATTTTTGTTGAGGCATTTACTATCCAATAGGAACCCAAGGTACCGAATTTCAGCGAATTCGGTTGAAAAACGCACTCAAGAACTACAAAATGCCGAACTTGACCTGCCTTCAGACAAAAGAATACTCTATGCAAAATTTTGGCGATCTATCTCAATTCGTTTAGAGACTAGAGTGATTACAACAGACAGACGGACATGGCTATATCGTCATTGAATTGTGCGGTGATCAAGAATATATATACTATATATAGGGTCGGAAATGATTATTTCGATGAGTTACAAACGGAAAAACTAAATTAATATACCCTCCATACTATGGTAGAGGGTGTAAAAACAGTGCATATTTGGCCCAAATCGGACGTTCCGAAGCATGTTAAATAAATTCCTATAGTTCATATAAAAATAATGGATTTCACGCTAATTTCTGCATCGGAATACAAAGATAATATTTTTCTCTTTTGTCTTCGGGCCAAGTTCGACCTATATGCATCCACGAATATTCATAGACTCCACTGTCTGTGATTATGATTATGCAGTTCATAGGAAACGTGCAACCTTTGGTGTATACTCCGATTTTTGGCCTTCTAAAATTTGTTCGAATGAACCATGAGCTATTCCATCTGCAGCGACTACATTGGTTATGTCATGTTGTGAGAATGGACGAGCATTCCCACACATAAAAGGCTTATACAAGCGAGCCAAGTGATGGTTCATGCAGAAGAGGAAGACCACGAATCCGATGGAAAGATCAAGTGGAAGACAACGGCTCTGAACATAATCTTTTAAATTGGATGAGATGCGCTCAAGAACGACGCGCTTGGACATATTTTTAAAGCTCGGCTTAAGGCACAACCGTTCTGTCGCAAGCTAGCTTAGTAAATAAGATTTGGGGCCTCTTTCCAATGTGCCTGCCATTACTACATTACCAACAGTATAATCAAACATGTTTTAGACATAATCATACCTCAGCTTATTTGCATAAACAAATGGGAAGACACGAGTTTAAATTTAAAATATTCAGTAACTAAAAGTACAGTTAATTCACTGAAGATCATTAATAATTTTGAGTCAAAAAAAAAAAAAAAAAAAAAATCAACACAAAATAAATAAATAATAAAACAAATAATTCATTCACTGATGCTTGAATGAATTTATTACCATACAACATTAGCGGGCTAATACATTTATTGTTATGTTAAAACATACTTAAATTAATGATATATTCGATTTATTTAAAATGGACATATGTGGATATTTTAGTAAAAGAAAATGAAATTATAGTACTTTTTATACTTACTTAGCTGGCTTTTGACAGAACATTTGTTCTATAAGCCGAGCTTAAAGAAGATTTCCAAGTGCATCGGTCGTGTGCGTAGCACTTCTCATTTGTCTTAAACTTGATCTTTCCATCGAATTCGTGGTCTCGCTTTTTAACGTAGTCGCTGGCTATATCGATTGTACAACTCATGGTTCATCAGCCCATAGATCTTTCGGATAATTTTGCTCTCGAACACTCCAAGAGCTGCTTCATCTGATTTCGCAAATACCCATGCTTCAGAGCCATATAACAGCACGGGTAGTATCAGCGTCTTTTCGAGTGTGAGTTTGGTATGGCGAGAGATGCCCTTGTTTTTGAATTGCTTACTCTGGCCATAGTAGCATCTGTTGGCCAACACTATCCTGATGTCATTAGTTTTAGTTATGGCGG